GCGAAGGGGGGGCGGTGCGCACGGCACCTGTACAGGCTCCTCCCGCCTCCCCGGGAGCTACTGCCCCAGGCCCGAAACGCGTCACCGGCTCGATCCCCCGTGGGCTCCTGTGTACAGGCTGCGTGCCCGGTGCACGTATGGCGCTGCGTGCTGGTTGCACGTATAGCGCTGCGAATGATCACGCCGTAAATGTAGAGCTGCCCCGCGTGCAGTTAAACCAGCTGCAGGTGCGAAGTAATCACGGGAATTGTTGTTTTGCCCCTGCATGAAAGCCCAAAGGCTCCTGATACACGTCATGTTCATGGCGCACCTGCCCCACCCACTGCATCATGTGCAGATATGCCCTATGCGCAAAGCAGTTCCCGCGCATGTCATTGTTGCGGCCCTGGGAGAAAAAATGTAAGGCCCCCTGGGCTCTGCGTTGCATGGATGGGTCAGTTGCGCCATAAATGTAGACTGGTCCCCAGTGCAAAGTAACGATCACCCAGTTTAACCAGTAGGTCATACAATACATCTAGTCTGGCTGCGTGTACAAAGTAGTTATCACGTGCTAAAAATCACTATCTAGCTATAAAAAGAGCCAGCCAGCTATGAAGTTAGTGCTTGAAAATACTAACGTTTCTGTCCGTGTTGCACTTGAACCTGTAGCGGGGCCCTAATGCATCAATACAGAACGGGCCATCGTTGGCAGCAGTGCGATGGAGGAGGTTTTTGGGGCCTGTGGTTGAGTCAACAGCATGATGATGTTGCAAAAAAAAGCAAACATGGTTTGGGGTTTAGAAAGGGAATCCTTGTTTATCACTTGCCAAACCTTGCTACCTGTTCTAGTCAAAATCCAGTTAGGCCTCCGCTAACTTTCTTAAAAACGGCAAGCATGGAGGATAAAAAAGGGGCTGGGGATGCAAGCTGGAGGCAAGAAGACTGAAGGAACTAAGTGTGTTTCTAGTTTAGAGGAAGGGAGATTAAGGAGGGTCATGAGAGTACCCTTTAAGTAAAGGCTACTATAGAGAACGTGAGAAGTGTGGCCGGGAAGAACACGATGCAACGTGTGCATCTAAACTAGCCCATCTCGATCTTAGGAAAACCATCTTCACTGCAGCAGTAGGATAATGCAACACATGGCCTAGAGAAATCATGGGCTCACCTTCATTGAAGGTTTTCTACAGGCAGGGGGAGAGGGAGGTAAAACTAGATAACCTTGAAATCCTACCCCAGCCCATTCCTCCCTCCTACTGACACTTCTCTCAATTGTATTAGTAAATTGAGTTGACAGAAGTGACCTTGTGACAAGAACAAAGACCTAAGTAACTTTTGTTCAAGATAAAGAGAATTAATAGGGATGCCATGATTAACCATTACTTGTAGATTTGAGTGTTGTTGTGTAATAGGATTAGGGTTGAAGGACTGCATTGGCTCCAAAAGACTCAGGTTTAATCAGTGTCTGTAGATGTGCAGAGCAGCTCTGATGCAGGGCAACTACTCGATTTAATCAAGGCTGGTGGAGTGTGCTAATTGGCACGCTCCAGCAGCCTCCTTATCTTGTGTATCAGCATCCCCATTCAATGACCCTTAAGATAAAGCTCCCCCATCCCAATTTTGTATCTGCATCCCCACACTTCATAAGATGCTGCAGCCACTTAAATTAGAGTTGCTCTCCCAGCTGCTTTAATTAAAATGCCCACCCCCCAGACTGTGAAAACGCCCAAGGTAACTCTGATTTGTGTGGTGGAAATGGACAGCAAACCAAAAGTGCTGTTTAGTTCCTGTGTTCAAGCTAGTTTTAGAATTAAATCATTCCTACAGGAGCTTCTGATTTTCAGTTTAGTGGTGTAATGTTATGTAGAGCTACATTGCACTTGACCTGGTCACCAGTATCTTGAGGCTTGCCCCTGTGGCGTGCAGCATGCCTTGGTGTAATATGCCTTCCTGTAAATGGTGGCAGAGCAGGAGAAATGTTACCTCCCCCAAAAAAATAGTTTTACTTGTTTGAACATACAAGGAAGCTTTGTTGTTCCTTCCTCTTGTTCTGGAAGTAGCCGGGCTCCCAGTGTCTGATAACCCTGTGTATTCTAGGATATCCTTGGATATTGGGCTACTAAACTTCAAGAGTACACTTGTCCGGTACCTCTAAACTGATTTCAAAATAAAGTGCTTGAGGTTTTGTTTGTCAAGTTGCATATTCCTGTGGATGCATGTACACTATCCATTCTCTGTATTTTTTTGGAAAATAGCCTAAACCACGGGCCTGCAGCAAAGGATCTGCGCTGTTTTCTTCAGATGATTGTAGACGGGGAAGTTGGAGTACAAGTTCCGAGAGACTAGTCAGCTGTATTTCCCACCCACCCCCCACCACAAATGTGTGGAGGTCATGGATTTGAAACAAAAGAATCTTTTGTTTCAGTCTTAGTCCAAGACTGAACATTACTCCATTCAGGCAGGACCTTTAAATGCAATTTACTTATGTAGAGTGCCATATACTTTTTAAACCACCACCTTTCCCTCTTGCACTGGTCTCTCAACTATTTCTAGCATCTTGCTACAAGAAATGGAACTATCAAAGGGTTCTGTTTCTTTACAGAGGGAAGGAAGTAGTGATCACATATTCAGCAAGTGAATTTAAGTGCTCCCTTCCAGCAACAGAAGCTGCTATGTGCCTGATAGTGTGCAAGCAAGAATTATAGCTAAACTTCTGATGGGAGACAGTACAGATATGAACAAGTACTCATAGCCTATGCACATGCCCTGGCACTTGGGCTCTCTATAATGGGTGCTCCGAGTTTAAAATTAAAGCTGTCAAATTAAAATAGTACTAGAGGAGGGTGGACAAAAGTATAGTATAGTGAAGCGTGGACAGGCTTCTTTGGGTAAATCTGATATCTTGTATTAGACCAACTCAAATAGTTGGAAAAATTTCTTCTTTGCAAACTTTTGGGTATAAATACCCTCCGTCAGGCTGAGGAAGCATCTGCAGTTAGTGTGCGCTCTTCCTGCATACCAGCTGCAGACCCTTCCTCAGCCTGACAGAGGGTATTTATACCCAAAAGCTTGAAATTTTTTTTTTCCCAGCTATCTGAGTTGGTCTAATACAAGATTTACCCAAAGAACCATGTCTGCCTATGTCCTCAGACCAACACAGCTACACCCTATGCCCCTGTATAGTAAAGTGGACATTTCTGAGGAGTTGGGGACTAGCATGACTAGTAGTGGAAACAGCTAGATTCCTTTGTTGCCTAAAGTAAAGGAGTGGGCGTGCAGATAAAGGGAATGGAGAATCCAAAGCTGCTTTGCTCCGTTTGGGAGTGAAAGAGGCTGAATAGTACCCACAAAATGTAACAGCAAGACACCACTTGCAAGGTGAAGATCTGCAAGTTCTTGATCTAATTGTTACCTGAGTGAGTAGGCTTGAAGCACTGCATAGGTCTTCTGCTAATAATACCCAAAGATTTTTTTTTTGATTTATTATTCTTTTAGTGGTGCTTGCACCCAGTTTCAGAAGAGAAGGATCTAGCCCTTTGTTTCCACATGTATGGAATGATGTTTACCCTTCCAGAAACATAAGGGAGCTGCTAGCATAACCAGTTCTCACTGTTGCATTGCTCAGTGTGTCAAGGGAAATTTTTGCATCAGTTCTCTTATTAAGGACCTGCAAAACATTTAAAAAAGAGAATCCCCCTCTCAAACTTTCCTTGGTGTGTCATCTTCATTCTGTTGGATAAAACAGACCTATCTGACTTTCTAATGGTTCCTCTTCTAACCTCCGCTTCCCTAATTTGTTTAGGGACTCCCTGTCCAAGTACAAGCTAAATACTAAAACCCTAATGAGGTATTGCCATAATGTTTTAATCTGTGACAAATTATTTAACTTGTATATACAGTCCATTTATGATATGTGGCTCTTTAAAGCTACTTTCCTAAGCAAAATAAACGTTCTGCCAAGCTTTTTTTTTTTTTAAATTGCTCTACATCAGGCAGTTAGTCAACACCGTACTCTTTACCTTTTTCAGCAATACTAGATAAAACACAAGATCTTAACTTTTTTGCTTTAAATGTAACACCGATATGAGAGGTTTGTATGCTGAAATTCTGTCAGAATTAGGAAGCTACAAAATGAATCTGAAAGAACTTGCTCTGTTCAAAGTATTATGTGATGTGATGGAAAAATATTTAAATCTGCAATGAAATATCAGTTTCTTACAAGCAAACAATTGTATGTTACAGGTTTTTTCCAGTCCCACGCAGTGGATGTAGAGGTGAAAGATTCCTCCAATGCTACGTGCATATATGCAAAATGGATGATGAGCTTCTTCATAAAATATGAAACAAACAGTAGTGAATATGTAAGTATTTTGGAGGTAATAGCCCTTCTGATTGCAGAGGATGAATTATTGAAGTTGTCAATGTTAAAACATCATCTTGCCACTGGTTCTGGTAAGGCTGAAAAACGAATCGAGTGTATCTGTGCTAACTAGCTACCCTTGCCCCATCACAAAAGGATTATGGAGGGTTTAATTTGTTTTAATAACTTACCTAACTTAAAACAGGCAACAGCCTTCAATTATTATTTAAAATGTGAAGCTTGTTTGTTTTGGCCAGGAGGTTCTTGCTTTATCAGCACAGTGCTGTGATGTTTGGATTAAAAATACTACTGAGCAGTAGAGCAAAATGTCAAGATTTGAGACTTTTAAAGGGGGAAAAATCTGGGTGTGTTATCTGTTTACAGCAAAGTTTGCACTTGGAAAAACTGACTTGATTGAAAGTTGTTTGTTTTTTTTTTCTGAACCTGTTCATAAGCATCCTCTGCTTCTGTTCTTCTAAAAGTTTTTCCCCTCCCCCCCCCAGCCCTTATTTCTCACACTTTCAAATGTGATCTGAATCTCAGGAACATATCCACATCCATTTAGTCTTCAGTGCTTCTTACTTGCATCTTTCTAGCAGAACAATAGCTATAAGGCTTACTGGCTGCTGTTCAGAGCTGCGCCCAGCAATGAAAGCAATAAGACTCACCTCTGTTGCACTGTTGAGGGGTTTAAGCTTCAGCTTCCCCCAATACCATGCTTTCAGCTTCTAGGTTAATTTCCTTGCTAGTAGAGTAGAGAGAACTACATGGTCATCACAGTAGTTTTTGGTTTAAAGTCAAGCACCACACTTTCAGGTTCAGTTTTTTCAGAGAAGTGGCTTTTTTACTGAATATAAAAAGATCACAGGAAAATCCAGTAACTGAAAAGGCAACAGTAGTTCAAGGAACTTATCTGCAGTAACTAATTTATAAAGATCCAAAGCATTAAATGTACTTAAACCAAAAACAACAACAAAAAACTGTGCATGAGACTCACCCTGTTGTCTGCAGCCCAAACTTCCATGTTAGTCTGATGCTTTTTTAGTTGAATAGAAATTGTTTACAAGTTAAAATGGGCAGTTTTCTATTAAACAGCTACATCTGACTTTTGCTTTGGGATTCACACTTCATGTGATTTTTGGATTCAGGATTTTGCCTGTAACAGCCCTGATTCAGAGGTTCAATATCCAATTTTTTGAGTTTGAGAACTATTCTGACAATTAGTAGGTCTGGCTAGAAATTGTAACTTTGAAACATTTTGGATTCAGTCTTCATTTTGACCAGTTTCCAGTGAAACACAGGCAGGCTTCCAGCAGAACTCTTCATGGCTTTCTGCCAGCTCACTTTGAGTTGTTTCCTGGCTCTTTTGGCTGCCAGAGGGACTACTTGAGAACTGAGTACCCAGGGCTTCACAACTCTCTGCTCTGCAATAGACCCAGGGGTCTGAAAGCCACAACTGAACATGGGCCTCTTAAGGCTTCAGAACTCTTATCCTGCCTTCAACTTCAATAGTGGGTGATGTGGGTCATCCAGCCATCATGGCCCTTCCTCCATGTGAGCTGAGCCTGTGACTGTGCTAAAATTAGGGGTGTACCAATAAAGATTTTTTTTGCCAGTTTTCTTTAATTAACTAGTGATATCAGACGATACTGATCCAATTGCCAATTATGTAGCCCAGCAGCTGGGAGAACAGCATCTTGTGTGGTAAATTTGTTGGGGTGTGGGGGGAAGAGGCAGGAGTGGTCGAAGCCCCCACAGTAAGCAAGGGAGTGGGGTTGGGGCAGGTAGTCTGTCAGAGCAGGGGGAAGGGCAGGTGGGTGGCTCCCCATGCTGTGCATATCTCCAAGAAGTCATGGAGAGCATGTGCCCCCCCAGATTTGTGCATAGGGCAAGGGTGGGCTGCCTGTTGCAGTCTCATCTTGGTGGGGTGGCTGGACTGAGGCTACACTTGGTGGGTGGTGGTGCTGGGAGCAGGTGTTTACAGGGTGGGCTACAGCCACCCCAAAATTTACCATAGCCCCCCCTTCCAACACTGCTGCCGCTGCGTATCCCAAGCACACTCCCTCCATGGTGTGCCAGGAAGAGGTTGTAGCAGGCAGGCAGCCAGCCCGCCCTCATCCCACATACAAATAGGGAGCATATGCCCCTCATAGTTCCCCTGGGGGTACACACAGCAGCAGGAGCTGCCCCTAAATAAGTTGCCCATGGCTCTGTCCCACAACCTGCCCTGGCTAGACAGCACCTACCCCAGCCATATTCCCTGCCTCACTGTGTGGGGACCTTGATCTGTGGCCCACCCCTGACTTGCTGGTCAGATGCTGTTCTCCAGGCTGCACTCCTGGCTGCGTGCAGACTGCAGCTGTGCACATGCACACAGCACTTACCTGTGACATTATCAACCACATTGACCAAAAAAAGCCAATGGCCAATGATGTCAATTTTCCTCTTATCGGTGCCAATACAATACGGACTGACTTTTATTGGTCCACTGCTACTTAAAATTGGAGCAATATGGTAATAGGTGAAAATTCTTTAGAAGAGAGGACATGGTATTTTTTTTTTTTAAGTGCAGCATAAAAGGGAAGGGAGCCTGTAAAGCATTTGATTTCTTTTGCAGCAAATTTGAACATGTTTAAACTTAACATTGTTATAGGTAGTTGTTATTACTTCCTTTTAAACTGCAGGGGCATACCTTGAGGACATCGAACAAATTATTTGTCTCTTTCTAGCTAGCAGTAGGCTTTGTACTAAAAGAGCTTTACTGACCTGTGGGCCAGTTCCAGTCTGTGAAGAGGTCCCATCTCATCCAGCACAGGGGAGTGGTCTCTCAAACTGCAGCCACTGCTGTGGAGTCTGTTTCTCGATAGTCTGAGCCTACTTTGCTACAGTGGGGTTGGGAGTCAGAGCCAGCTGCTTGGAGGAGGAGGGAGCAGAAACTTTCATCCCTGGGTGACCCAGGCCAACAAAAGATTGCCTTTCCTTGTAGTGCTGGCCCTGTAACTACCTTCCCAATCTCTTCCTGCTACTACATGACTCTTCTGTGTTATCTTGCTGCACCGCTTAAGTCCATAATGTGGTTTTGAGGAGACCATATAACTGATTCTGGACACGTGCTATTCTAATGGAGTTGCATTAACTGAACATTACACTTGGCTTGACTGATCAGTGAAGCACTTGAAGCTCTTGTTTAAACATTAGCTCTACCTGAAAGACCACCTACACTTTTTGGTTAGACGCTTCGAATGTCGGTCTTATGACATAACAATTCTGCATTAGAGTCAAACTTTAGATTGTGGTAACCTTTAAACCAGGGGTGGGCAAAATGTGGCGCAGGGGCCAGATGCAGCCTGCCAGGCCATTCTATCCAGCCTGCGGGGCCCCTAAAAAAAAAAAAAAAAA